TTTTCGCCTAACGTTAGCGGAATCATCTAAGCTGAAGCGGACAGGGGAGGGGAGAAACTTGGAAGGTCGGTTGTGAAAGGTATCCCTAATATAAGAGGTGTCATACGCGCTGATACCTAGCACGCAGAGGATGCACGGGACTTGAACGGTCCAGAGCCAGATCGTGGGGAGGGGGCGCCAGCGAGAGTCCGGAGTCATTATTGTCGAGAGGACTGGTATTGGTATTTTTCTCAAGCTGCCGGAGGCGAAGGGGTAGAGCGGAAGCGGAGAGAAATAGGATCCGAGAGACAGACCTGGGAATCCAATATAATAGCTTGGCTTGGCTAAAAGGAGGATGTCTATTTTCCTTTGTTCTTGTTTGGGATTTTCACCTCGAGGATACACCAATGGGAGCTCTCGACTAACTAAGATGATCGAGAACCGTTATAACCTTTTTTTCCCCCAGTGGTCACCGAAAAAGGTAGTTAGCTCGTAGGACAACATTAAAATGTCTTGCTCAACCAGTATGGAAAATCACAGACTCTCACTCGTCCACAAGGTAGGAGCCAGGACATGGTCAACCAAGTATGATATTGGGGCACGGCTGCAGAAAACCTCTCGGGTAAAAAAAAAAAAAAAAACACTTTGATCCCAAGCGCCTTTGAGGAGCCGCGAAAGAACATCTTCCCCCTTGATAACGGAACTCTGTCAAACGGAGGGAACGGAAGAAGCCTAACTTCATGACCATGTCTGGACTTTTCATAGTGAAGGAGTAGCCAAATTTACTTGCCAAAACAAGACAGAATAAACAGAGAGCCCTTGGTCGGGATATGTAAATTGTGATTACAAATGCACATGTGCCGGGCCAGGCGTATTATGATACAATGGACTGGTGAAACCTGGTTCTAGCTGCCCTATCTTCTGATAGCATCGGATGAGAGTTTGGAAGGTTTGTAGTTCGAGCCATGGTGTCATGCTTATGCGGGAGAGGAGTATTGTGGATTAGCGGATGTTAGCCAAGTTATTATACATGATTTGTTCCCCCGAATTTGTAGGGGTTTAACTAGGCTTAAAATGAGAGAACTAGAGGTAAAATGGGGAGGAAGTTTGAATCGAGAACACGCCTTCACACAGGTGTCAAAATTTACGCACGATAAGAGTTTTTCGTAGCAATTCATATACCCAACGCATACCGCCACGAGCTCCCACCTCCTATCAATTTTCATCAGTCTCCCCTTGATGCTCCCCCTCCCCCTCCCCCTCCCCCTCCACCTCCTCAAACCCCAACAATTCCCAAATTCTCTCTTTAGCCTCCACACAGCTAAACCGTCCCAAGAAAACAACCTCAAAAACCTTCATCAACACGACATGTGTATGCCCCTTTCCCATACCACCCCCACTCTCCTTTGCCCACCTCTCAAACTCCGCCGTGGGAATAAAAGTCTTATAAAGATGCGGAAGACAGCTCTCCAGATTACCATACTCCCTTGGGAGCGAAGCGTAATGAGCGGCAGCTGCACGCGCCAGTGCTCTTAGGTGGTGTATTGATATAGACATGTTTGCTGAGGCAGTCGGCAATGACGGCCGGGGAGGCGGTCCTACATCCCCGGGGGGAATTCGGGTGGAATTAAACAGGAGGAGGTTCCGTATCTGGACTCGAGTAAATCTGGGTATCTCTGCAGAGCAGAGGTTGTAGGGGAGAGGTGAGGCTTTGATGCTTGGTGTGGTCTGTGGGGTAGGAGTGGCAGATTCGGAGGTGCTACATTTGGTTGTTTTGGTGGCTGTTGGGAGGTGAATGCTGGGGGTGTCGGTATTGCTGTTGGTAATGACTGGGAATTGGTTCGGTGTGTTTGTTCCACTGGGGGTGTTTGGGATTTGATTGCAAACTGCATCAGGAGTCGCGGGGGGACTGGTGTCTGAGAGCCTTTGTCTCTTGGCCAGTGGGGTTGCCTGTGGGTTTGCCTGAAATACATGTTTAGCTTCGGCGTAACAAATCGAGTCAAGTACGGAGACCAACATTGCGCCGATTTCTCTTTGGTTTCTCGCGGTAGTTTATTGGAGCCTTTGCAGAGTTTCTCCCGCTCCGACGAACAGAGGAAGAAGATGAAGAGGAAGAAATTCTAGCAGATCTCGTACAGGCCGGATCATCGGGAAGAGCGTTAAGATCAGCGCTTTTGGAGGAGGTTAGTGGGGCCATTAGAGGGATAGGAGTCTCCACCGAGTATTTTTCTTTTCTTGCGGTAGTTTGTAGAGGGTGGGTGAATTCGGTCCGTGATTTAAATAAGCCGAAGACTCCGACTGCTGCCTCTTAAGAGTGTAGGGGTAACTCGGAGGTGAAGTGGAGAGCGACACAAACAAAAGGGGATGAAGAGAATATTCTTGTGTGCGAAGTGCTGTTAGGCGTATATTATGATAGTATGAAAGAGAGAGAAAAGGGCAAACATAGCTCGCGGGAAAATAGGATCCATCTCTGCCCGCGTTACCTATCATTCCAACTGGTAGAGGGGGAAGGGGGCTGAACGTAGTCCTATGTGGTGAGACCCTTACATTTTGGAAACCTCGGTAGTGCTTGTCTCCACACTTGAAAGGAACTTTCCTTGAGTCTACGGGCTCGGTTGATGGCCTGATGCTAGTCACTCATGGTATCTCACTCGGCACGTGGTGTTTGTTGACCCGGTAGCCCACCCTAGCTCTTAGCGCCCGGCATGGCTATTAGGCTCAATACACTGAACACCGCAACTAGTAATCCCGGTTGGATTAATTGTAAATAATGATCAATTTCAAAAATAAAAACATGTTATATCATATTTCTACAACTAGTTTGTGCACAACCCTTGCATGTATCATAAGAAAGGAATTGGGAACAAACAGAAATCAGAAAGCGTCGAGACAGGTAGACAGGCCAACCCGAAAACCCCGGCAAATTGAGAGCAAAATCACACAGGCAGAGGAAGTAGTTGCTCACAAAGTTGACCCCCGAAAGGGGTTTAAACTCATGACCCAGCAACTCATAAGTCACTGGGAAAATTCAGAATGCACCAAAAAAGACCAAACCCACCACAAGTATGCAGCGGCAGTCCCGAAAGTAGTTTTCAACATAAAGATTAAGGTTCCCATCTTTATCCCTCTCATCTGAACGATTTTTCTTGTATGTTACCTTGAACCCCCTTTCTTTTCTAATCGGATTCGCATGCTGCGCATTACCTCCTTCTGTCGCATCAGCTAGTCCTGTAACGTGCCCACTGCCATCTCGTGAAAGGTATTTCACTCCAATGGCAGAACACAATGCAAGCTTTCAAGTGAACAGTTAGCGGCGAGGTGGCTAGGGATGAAGACCAGTTTGAAGCGGATTAGAGGCTGGGGTATATTTAAGGGAGGAGATGGTTTAAACTGTTCAATTGGTAAAAGTGAAAACAGGAGCAGTGTTGATAGGTCGTTGCCTGTTACAAAAATATAAGATAGGAGAGATCCTGTGAGTGATCCTAAGATGGTAAAATTTATCCACTACACCCTATGTATATACATGACTTTTGACTCTAGGTTTTTCTAATTGTTAAATTTGGCTTTACCCGCCCATTGAAACACCTTTTATTTACCATTTTTTATTTGTTTGCAATTCCCCATGTACCCATGTACGATACAAGTGTCAAAAATACAAGCGAGCGCTACTAGTTGAATTATACATATCATAGGAGTCCCATAAATGAGCAACCCTGTGCCCATGCTTTTACAGGCCATTATGCGAGCTCCCAACCATGCATGACCAGCTGCCGTATTTGCAAGCAAGACACCTTTCCAGGAGCTCTCAAAGGCCCGTAAGTTAGTGGGTATCGGGAGTGAGCATATCCGAGAGAAATAAAGTTAACTAACTATTGGTCCCCTTGTTTACTGACGGCAGGATTACTTCATGTTCAGAGATAGAGTTACGGTTACGGCCGCAGTGTCAATATGGAGGACTCCTTAGTTGTCTTTTTTTTTTTTGGCAGTGCACGGGAAAGCGTTTTGAGCTCCCGTGCATTCCGGTTGGGGCATACAAAGACCATATATACTGGTAAGTGTGACAGGAGAGTAACACGTGTTTGTCATAACCTTTTTCTCGAGGAATCATGTCCGGTTTTCAAGTCCCCGTTACAAGAACCGCAAGTGACTATTGACTACTTATTAGATATATGCAAAGGGCAATAGTACGAGTGATTTATTATGATTTCAGATTACAGTACTAACCCGTGGTGTCGGGCTCTGGTTGCTAATACAGTACCCTGTGCTCCCTTTCTCATAAATTGTGCAACGTCGTACGAATTCCATGGCACTATTCCAAGTATGCTAGCAAAATTTCCAGACAAAATTCTAGTAGAGGCTCCGACTCCGCTGTAATTATTACAGTACAGAATAGATCCAATAAGCTTGCTAATGGTGACTATCCTCTCTGTACTGGACTATTTGAGAAAATAAAGTATGGTAGATTCCCAGGGTGATCTATGTGCGCAAGAGTGGTGTTTGGCAGTTTGTAGTGACCCCAAGGTAGATGGATCTAATTGTTTGGTATTATTCTAGCAGAAATTCGGTCCCGCGTTATGATGGATGGGCTTCAGCTAGTTCAAGCTGTGGCCACCCGGGTGGAGGAGGAAAGACGCGGGAACCACATGGGAGTTGGGGACACTCCGAGCAGATATTTGCCCACTCATGGGATACCAATAGTCCAACCCCCAACTCTGGAGTACCCCACCCTGCTGTAGGTGATGCGACTCGTGATTCTCGAATCAGTGGATTGTGCCCAGCCCAAGTGTATTACGCTGCGCACCAAACTAACCAGACTTAAAGTCACAAAAGGAAGCTACAAATTACTAGACAAGGAAAAAGAAGGCCACATAACAATAGTGGAAACGGGAGCTACCCGTTACCCCAGAGGAGGACAAAGGCTGGGATGAGAAGGTAGATTTTCGAATTAGAGGATGCTCTCCTACGACACACTCTTCAAGAGGGGTATGTTGAGCGATACTGCAAGGCATCGGTTTCGTTGATTTGCTGAGCTCCGGTTTGTCCATGTATTTCTATTCTGCCTATAACGGCAACATCTCATCTAGTCTACCGACCCACGTCTAATCGCTCGCCCGTATTATATATTGTAACTTAGAGATCTAACTATATCCTATCTCCCTCTCAATACTCCCAACCCTTGAAAATAAGAACGGCTTATCATTCCTATTTGTAGGATCAGTCAGCCAATCACTTTATACACATGAGAAAAAAAGGGGGGGGAAAGAAAAAAGACTCGCCTTAATGAAAACTCCGCAAGATCATCCGAGATTATATTCCAGCTCCAGAAGCCCTCCCAAACCAACTTATTGACACCTCCGATCCGCCCCCCGACTCGGATGCTCTTCACTTTGAGCGCCATTCTGAACAAGTACTTGTCCATCATGGGCGCTTCGGTTTCCACATCTAATTGTCCATTTTTATCCATTCGCCAGCGACCCTTGGACACGTACTTCCCCCAGCTCATGGCGCCGACCGGTAGACCACCCAGGTGGGCTGGAGTGAGTGACATCTTGTTGAAGCCATGGACTACCTCTGCTGGCTGGCAGGTAGATAAGAGTGAAAGGACTGTGCCGTTCGGGTAGAAGCGCAGGTAACGATAATAGGTTACAATGTGCACGGGGGTGTTCCAGGACTGGGACGCTCCCGCGCGGACGTAGTTGCAAGTGGAGATGTAGATGCCGTTAAATCGAACGCGGGGTCGGATCATGAACATCTTTCGCCAGTTCGAGCCGTATTTGAGCGCTTCCTCTTCGTCAATTGGGATTTCACGCTTTTCCTGCTCCTCGTCCTCGTTTTCATACTCGCCGTCTCGGAGGACTTCTCTGTCTGGGCCTTCGAGTAGGAGGGGCTTCTCTATTGGATCTCCGTTGACGGTCACTCCCCAGTCCCAGAGCATTCGGCTGAAGGTTTTTTCGCATACAGCTCTCCAGATGCTTTGCTCAGTGATCACGAGGTAGGCGAAGGCCTTGCACACCTGTGCCAACCTTGCGAACGAGGCGACGTCTGTTAAAGCTACGTTTCTGACAACCTGGAGCAGGAGCTCGAAAGGGAGCGTTGCTAACGGGGAAAACCCTGCTTCTTCCTCTTCCGTTTCTGTTTCCTTCCCCTTCCCTTTATCCATAGCTGCTTCCTTTTCATTGAGTTCAGCGACAGGAACAGGCTGAATTTGAACCCCTGCAAACGAAGCGATCAACTCGCTCATCTCCTTCGAACCAGAAGCTAGCGAAGCCGGAGCCGGGACTGAGGCGGGTACTGATGGCTGGGAAGAAAGAATGGTAGCAAGAGGTATCCTATTCTTAGCCAATGAAGGGGGCGGTCGTGGGAAGTGCTTCTCCCGATAGTGAGAATCAACCTTGTGATCCATCTTTTCTAAAAAATTAGCTTCCAGGTTGCGCTATTCATCGATAGTTGGGGGACGTGCCCTAAACGCCTTCCTGTACAAACTCAAGCTTTCCCCCAAACTACCTTCGGATTCCTTCTCCACCGCCCGCTCATAATGCTCGAGCGCACTCACAGGATCCGCCCGGGAAGAGCTTCCTGCAAAGGAGGTTCGTCGACGAGCAATTGGCGATGGGGGCCGTTGGGTTGAGAGTTCTGGTTCGTCTTCGACGTTCTCGCCGGCAGAGGAGGAATGGGACAGCTTTCTTGATGCGAAGGGATTTGGTTTTGGTTTGTTTACGGAACTGCTCGGTTGGGGTATGGAGGACCCTGGGGCTTGGTGTTGGCGGGCGGATACTTCCGCTTGCCACTGTTGGCGGAAACGGGAGAGTTCTTCGTCCATGGGCGCCGTACTAGTGCTATTGTGTTCGTCGAAGAGAGGAGAAGCTTGTGGAAGACAAGGAGGGAGCGGAGGTGATTAAAACGGAGGGTACAGTACTCGTACAAGCTATCGTGACTTATGCATTCAGCAGGGGTTGGGTAAGTTGTTGAGACGCAGAGTCAATACCGGGGAAGTGGCAATGCCTCATTCAAGTGAGTCAGTTGAGTGAGACAAGATAGACATCGCAGATACCAGTATGAGTGATGCAAGATACTCGCGTTCCACGAATATGACACCATAACACATGTGCTTCTCTCTCTTATCGCCCTTATCCCCGGACACTCCAACCCTAACCCACCCGCCACCGAATGATTGGAGCGAGGATCTGATTGAAAGTCTCTATCTGATTCAGCTAACGCTTTTCGTTTCGTCACAGTCCCACGGTCCATCCTCTTCCCTCACCAACGCCCACCCTCCAGACCCAGAATTTACCCCTCCAACAGGTGCATAATTACCTAAATTACACCTATCAAACCCACGCACACACGCCCTCACCTACATCTGATACTCATCTGCGCACACACCATCATCCCCGCACTTTTCTACTCCATCTAACTCAATTCTTTAGAATCCATTCTCGATATACGACAACAGTTAATACTTTAGAAATAACCAACAAATCTAGTATGAGCGGGACCGAAAGCTTTACTGCGGGAACTGCTGAAATGGCTGATGTGAAAGAGGCTACTGTGAACAGTTCGAGCAAAGATCACAATCACAAGGCTTGGATCGACGGGAGAGGTTCCAGTCGGGAAAAGTTTGAGACTGTGCCCGGTTTGGAGAGCAATTGTGGGAACAGTGGCAAAGAGGAGGAACCAGATATCACAGCTGGGCAGAAGATGTTGGCTGCTTGTTCCGGGAGTTTGTTTACAAGTCTCCTAGGTATCTTCTTTTTACCCACATCCCGCAACCAGTAACCGTTCCCCCCCAATGATGCTGACAGTTGGGTTGTCCATAGTAACACCTCTAGATGTCGTTCGGGTCCGCCTGCAGTCGCAACAACTATCTCCCCCAAAGAATGCCGCGGTAAATTTCTCATCGGCTTTACCCTTAAGAGCTCATAAACTTCCTCTCGCACCGTTACAATTCCAATCAATGGCCCACTTATCCACTCCGGAGTTAGGCGTAACCGCATGCTGCCGAGAAGTTTTCTGGATAAACAACACTCCAGAGGCTTGTATTGCCCCTACCTCTTCCCTGAATGCAAGCACAATCTTGAACGATAGCTGCGTGGTTGAAGAGGCATCCCGTCGTCGTTTTCATGGAACCTGGGAGGGGTTGGTCAAGATCGCAAGATATGAGGGGGCTTCTTCGCTTTGGAGGGGTTTGAGTCCAACACTTCTCATGGCAGTCCCCTCAAACGTTATTTATTTTACCGGATATGACACTCTACGAACATCTGCTTGGTCGCCATTTGCCCACTTGGGCGCATTTTGGGGCCCTCTTATTGCTGGATCTGCAGCGAGGGCTATCGCAGCTACTGCTATTTCACCAATTGAGATGTTTAAAACCAGACTACAGGCCGTATCAAACACTCACCTAAATTCGTCAAAAGGAATCTTCCGGGCTACCTTCGACACCACCAAGGATATGGTAGCGAAAGAAGGCGTTAGGTCTCTCTGGCGTGGGTTGGAATTGACCCTCTGGCGTGACGTACCTTTTTCTGGGGTTTACTGGCTGGGATATGAAACCATCAAGTCATTCATACGTTCCGAAAGAGAACGAGAGCGGCACCTGTCCTCCCTTCACCTCCACCATCCCACCAAACGCCACGTTAAGAAAGACCTCCATTCCGAGAGCACCTTTACAGATTCTTTTATTGCTGGTGCAGTTTCTGGGTCAGTCGCCGCTTTCCTCACGCAGCCTTTCGACGTTGGGAAGACTCGACGTCAGATCTCTGCACCTGCTGGTGTCGAAACAAAGGGGGATATGCCGAGAGTGCTCTATAACATTTTCAAAGTCGAAGGCGCATCCGGCCTCTGGAGAGGCTGCGTACCTAGAATCCTGAAGGTTTCACCTGCCTGTGCTATCATGGTATATTCTCCTAATTACTCGCATCCATTCATCTATCTGCCCGCCCAAACAACTACTGTCCCCCCCTCCCTTCTCTCAGGGTGATTTGAACAAAGCTAACGCACAGCCAGATCTCAAGTTACGAAGTAGGCAAAAAGGCCGCTAGAAAAATGAACGAAAAACACGAAGTCTAATGCCCTTTTTTCCCTTAACGTGGTGTATGATTACGAGGATTTCTTCTTCTCCCTTCCATCGGTGTGCATGGTTAACGTAATTTTACCCTATTTCTTTCAGTATCCTTTTCTTACTTCGATAGGGTAGTGCATAGCTTTCCTTCTTCCTTCCCCTCTGTTTTACCTTTACCTTATAAGCACGTTGACCTGGCTTAGGGGTTTAGAGGGCTCTTCTTTTTGTATAAAGTCCGCATGCTCTTATTCTCATTCTTGCTCTCCTTTACTTTTTCTCCCCACGCTCTCCTAAAAAAAAACTCACTTAAGTCGTTCTTTTTTCTCCTACAATTATCTGGTGGTGGCGGTGGTGTATGATATGGGGGAAAAAAATAGATCTGCTTTGGAAATCTGTTGGCTTGGATGCATGGTTCTATACCCTTGGAAATTAAAACGCTCATGCCTTAATGCAACATGTATGAGCGTTACGTTGTACCTGTGCGCAGGGGAGGACATTCCCTCCCTCCCATTTGAAATGTGCGAGTGAGGAGCTATGAAGGATCGTTCATAAAGGATTCACTGTTCATCAGTCCACACTATATAACCAATGCCACATGCCATGCGAAAGCCATTTTCGTAATTGAACTGAGCTGAGCTGGCTAGAGAAATGCGCAAGGAACGGTAGGAAGGAAAAAAAAAAAAAGGCTGACAGAAGCACCACAACCGTATTATAATCCATCAAGGTCTATTCCTGAACCTGTATAACATCCCATCCCAATAATCTCCCCCCTCTACCGTAAGAGTATCAGCAGAAAAATAAAGCGAAAAGAAAAAGAAACGTATTGAAAAAGAGAAAAGCACAAAGCACAAGCGCCATTTTAATAACTACCCATCCACCAATCCAACCATCCATCTTGCACCAGAAAAAATACCGACATACAGAACATGAAATAGCCCATGGATATTACAAAAGCAATAGTAGCAATCGACCGGGTAAATAAGAGAAAGAAAGGGAAAGAAAAGAAAAACAATCAAGGGACAGGAAAATGGCTATCCATGGTGATACCCACGGACTGACCTCATCGCTTTTTCCTTCTCACTAATGGGTCTGCGGGGACTCTTCTACCCGGGCGTATATTTGTAGTGGAGATAGGAGCAGAAGGTAGAGAAAAAGAGGTGGCCTCGCTACTATTCACAGACATATTTTTTCCAATCTTTGGAACCGCAATCTTCTTTCCGTCCGCACCGGAAATCCACTTTGAGCCTCTATCGTCACCACCACCAGCAGCGTCGTCCCTTCCCCTTTTACTATTAATATTATCATCCCTCTTCCTAGCAGCCTCTACCTCTCCTTCCTCTTTGTCCTTTGTATCACCCATCTTCTTCATTATCTTCTCCTTCATCTTTCCATCAACTTCCTGGCGCTTAAGTGTATGTGTCGGTGCCGCAAGAACGCTATTCCTTCCTCGGAAAACGCTAAGTTCCTTCGCTTCACGACGGGCCCTATCGATGATATTCTTGGTTTTACTACCGGCTTTGACAGACCAGTTGTTTCCTGTCCCGCCCCAGCCTCCACCTCCACCATATCGAGGGCGGCCGGTTGATGGGAGACCGACTGTGCTGGCTAGCATCTTCGCACGGGATTGCTGCTTCTCGGAGGACATCTTAGTCATATGTGCACGGAGGGTCTCGGTTGCAGCGGCTGCCGCCGCATCAGCTGCTTTTTGGAGTTCCTGTGAAATGAAAAGAACAGGTTAGATAAAGGGTTAGGGAACGAGGGAGGGAGTGGGAGAAGTGATGTACATCGTAGGCTTTACTCCAATTCCCCGGTTCCTCAAGTTCCATTTTGCGAAGAGCACCGTGTCCAAAGTGCTTCCCTATAAGAACTTTCCAAACTTCGCTATCTTCACCGCGGATTTGTGGACAATTTGCCTCGAGTTTTTTCTGTATAACTGGATTTTTAGTATCGGAGGGGTGGATAAGGTAGGATAGGGCAAAGGGTGGGGAGAAGGGCGAGGACGTATATAGAGTGGGGCAGTGCAAAAATTATGATAACATACAAGCTGAACGGGAGAAGTAATCTTGAGAAGAACTGGACGGACAAGTGCGTAATCGAGGTCTCCGATGTCGTCAATCGCTAGCAACAAATCAAAAGTTAGCTGCGCTCAAGGGAAAAGTAGAGAAAAGGGAGGAGAAATACTATCGACATGCTTGACCAGCACATTTTTAGTGAGAAGGTAAAGTGACTTGACATTTCCATGCATATGAGGCGGCATCATTTGACTCGGTTGCCAGCTTTTGAGTAACTAGCCGGTGGAGAATTATTGTTTGTATATATATGTGGATAGGGAGGGTAGAGGTTAGTGGAGGGAAGTTTTGGTAATCAAGAGAAGCGGTGGTGGTGGTGGGAGAGTATTTAAGATGAAAGGAGGGGAGAGGTCATGGTGCGCGCACAAATGGACAAATGGACAAATGAAGAGGAGCGCGAGCCATTAGGAGGCCTTTGACGTCAAGGCCAAGACTTTAAGTTTATAATATTATGTAAGCTCCCTTCCTTAATCCCATGCCCGGCTACCCAACTGCCCGCCACGCCAAATTCAGCATGCCATGATATTACGATACTGGCCACAACACCCCTAAATAAATTCCCTAGTTGTAACTTTTCTCCCTCCCACCCAAAGCTCAATACCAATGTCTGGGATCCTTGACGAAGGTACGATACATTATCTCCCCCCCATTGCAATAGCTGCTTGGATGAACTGCTGATGAGAATTACAGAAGAGCTGATCAAAACCCGACCCCTCCTTTTTGAACAACGCCCCTACAATCGTATTCTAAAGCGCTGCACTCCACTGCTGAAACCAGAGCAATTACCAACAACCTCCGAAGGACTCAACACCTATGGTGAGGAGCTTGAACTCGACTTCAAAGCCTTCGAAGGCGTAATCGCCCGAATCCAGCTCCTCCGCGAGACAAACAAACGAGAAGTAGAACGTTACGAGAAGGAAAAAGGCGACATCCGTACTTCCCCTTCCTCCCCCCCCTCCACTTAAAGGAAAAAAGTTAATTTTTCTGTGTGCTTATAGTCGAGACCGCCACGGTAGCTCGCGAAACCCTCGTCACGCTCAGACAAACGCTCCAACTCTCGCAGCGCGAAAAGGAGAATAAACTCATCTACGACGCAATAGCTAGTGATATCCTATCGAAAAACACACTAAAATCCCGAGACGAGCAGAACGTCAACATTGAGCGGCTAAACAAAGAGATTGCAGACCTGGAGGCGGAGCGCGACGAGTACAGGCAAGTATGGAACGCCCGTCGCGATCAATTCGGTCAGATTGTGGATCAGCTGCAGAAGATGTGGGCGCAGATTAAAGAGGATAAGGACGAGCAAGGTAACCTGCCTTTTGCCCCTTCGCTTGGGGGAAGAAAACTGACTAGTGGTCGTGATCATACTAGATCGCAGGGAAGGCATGTCGGAAGAGGAGGAAGGCGAAGAAGTCGAAGTCCCGGCTATTTCTAGACAATTCTCCGAATCGAACACTCCTTTCAACATCTCTACGCCCAAACTCAGCGCCAGCCATGTCGCAACTCCAGTCCCCATCATCACGCATACCTCCCCGGACGACCAGAAGGAGGAGGGCGAAGCGGAGGAGAAGGAAGAAGGCGAAGCCGACGAAGATGAGGATATCGAGTTTACCAATCCCCCGGCGGAGAACGGCGGGAAGGGGGCTGTGGCGCTGCCAGACGCTCCGAACATTCTAGACTCGGAAAAGATGGACTTGACCTAGACATAATATATACCCCCACCTATTTATTCTGCGAAAAACCTTTCCCCGCTGTGTCATTATACTGGGATCTTTTAGTACTGTACTTGTAGCATCATGCTTTTCCAAACGGGCAAAAAATAAATAGCGAGAGAGGGATTTGAGTGAATAACATATAGTCACGATAAATCACTCGGGATGCAGATAGACTCAATACCGGTATTTGCCAACACAGCAAGGTCTTGTTACCGTCAAGTCACAGTTTGACATTCGTATTTACAATACCTATCTACCGGTAGTTTACCATTACCCATATGCAAATCTAAAATACATTTTGTCCCCCCCCAACGAACCTACTTCTTCGACCCACTTCCGTACCTCTCCTCCACAATCTTCCCAACAATCCCCGCATTATTCTTATCCCCCTTCTTCGGCTTCCCTCCTCGCTTCCGCTTCTTACCACCACTACTTTTAGCAACAGTCCCGTCATCGTCATCCTCATCCCCGAAATCTCTACTCCCACCGAACCCAAAGTCAATGTCGAAAGCGTCTCTATCCGCAGCCTCCAAGAGCGCCTTCCGGCGCTTCCCAGCTTCGTCTTCGGAGGGCGTGGAGAATGCTTTAATGGTCGAGGCCTTGGCTAGTGCTGCCGCGAGTTCGGGATTGGAAGATAGGAGGGCTGAGGCTGAGAATGGGGGTTTGTATATATCCGAGGAGGTGGTGGTGGGCTCGTTGAAGTAGTTTGCTTTCGGCTTTGGCGCGGGTGGTGGTGGTGGTGGCACAGAGGGTGATGATAAAGGGGAAGTAGGTAGAGAAGGGGGCTTTGGGGGAGATTCGGGCACCTTTTCTGATTTTGCCTTCTTGGTTGGATGAATTTCTTCTTCGCCTTCCTCTTCTGAAGACGAGGATGAGGAGGCGTCATCATCGTCCAGGCCTGCAAGAGGATTGTATTCTGTTCCAGCCCCCTCGAATATATCGATATCTTCATCTTCCTCTTCTGCCTTCTCTGTCTTTCCGGGCATAGGTGGCGGAGGCATCATCCCCATAACCCTCGTAGAAACCGGTTCCGGTTTATCACACTTCTTATCCTTCTTATCCTTCTTGATCATTTTCTTGACCACCCCGTCTGCACCTGTGACATATTTAACCTTCGCCCCATTCTCCTCCTTCCTCTCCTCCTTCACGCCAATCTTCTTGAACTTCGAACCAAGCATAGAAACCGGCTTCGCAGCCTCCCTGCTCCTCCTCAATTCCGCCAATATCTCCGCACGAGTCTTCGGTGCCAAATTGCCCTTCTTTTTCTTCTCCTCTTTCTTCCCGGGAACAACATCCTTCTCGAGAACTTTATCCAGAACATCCTCCTCACCCTCACTATCCCGCCCCTCTTCCGCCCCATTGCCCTCATCATCCCTAATCACACGCATGACGTCCTCACCTCTGCGCACTTTCTCTAAAAGCCTGAAATCCAATCCCTTGACAAGATGCGTACTCGACACATCCCCGCCCAGCAATTTTGTCTGCCGAACGTACTCCTCATGCTCTATCCCGCCCTCTTTGTAGAGCTCTTCCAGCGCTGCTAACCGCCGGTCCCTCTCGTCGCCGCCGTCGTCCTCTCTGTCTTTCGTCCGGTCGACGTAGCCTTCGGGTAGTCGTGTGCCGAGGGGCGCAGCTGAGGAGCGGAACTTTTTTGTCTTTTGCTCGGAGGCGTTGTTCGCCGCTAGTTGACGTGCGAACTCGGACTGTGTTGATGAGCCACCGAGGACGCTTCGCCTGTTGATTTGTACATTCATTCGCTCAGTTTGTCTCCTAAACGGTAGAAGAAGGTGAGAGGGGAGGAGAGGGTGCATACGGGGTCATCGGGATTGAGGGCCGCAACTTAGAACCCAGCGCCGGAGTCGAGGAGGGCCCATTTTGGCTGGATGCGTTTGCGGGACGAGGCGTTTCGAGGAGTTTGCGGAATTGTGCGTTATTCATTCCTTCGGTAACCGTCAATAGTTTGATGAAAAGGAAGAGCAGAAATCGAGTGTTGGAGCTGTTGTGTGCTAGTGCAGGGGTGTCTGAGTTCTTCAAGGTTGGTTATGGTTCGAGTACGAGTACTCGAGTACATAGTCCAAAGATTCACCAGGTTGGAAAAAAGGTGTTATCATGCTTGCGCGAGTACGATACATGTGGCTGTGGAATCCGCACGCCAAGACAGCGTTTAGGGGCTGGGTGGAAAAAGGGTTTCTGGCAAGGGGTATCGTTTATAATGGTAACTTCTATTAATACAAAGGTTAACTTCTTGACTGGAAGGTTACATTACAAAGTTTCCTGTTCTCATACACAATATACTATTTAGCAAGAAATTATGTCATAACCACTCAAAAACCTGCTTGAAAGCATGAGTGATACTCATACGAATAGAATTTAAAAAATCATCAAACATCTAGTGCACCTTTTAGACAGCTCCCAAGACCTTGGAGAGGGATTTGGGGACTTTTCAAGGTCCGGTATGATGTGGTTGCTTCTCAGCGGCTGATTCATGACCAGTTAGGGGAATTGGTGGATTGGATGGAAGGAGTCTTGGGTGCAGGAAACGAGGCTCTTTGGGGCATTCTTTCCTACTCGGGTAGAAATATAGCTACAGATATGGAGATGTAATGTTATACTAATGTCGACCCGGGCTCCTCGAGCACTATCATACATACCTTTCGATCCTGGAGTACCGTATACTCGCTGTTTTCGAGGGCGTCCGGTGTTTCCTGTGGGCTTTGTTTAAAATGTTGAACACTAGCCGAGATCTTGATTGGTAGGAAAAACTTCTAATGTGGTGTTGGCCCCGGAATACCGCAGAATGCGTACGCTTCGGCATGGCCATGGTGGAAACGAGAAAGGGGTCCGCGTAATAGATTTACTTGTACGAGTAAATTACTAGTACAAGGCATGGGGCAGATGTTCTCGCAGGAAACATGGATTATTTTGAAGGTTATCCCAAATTAACTGTGAGAAAACTTTAGTCCTAGCACTTTGTACACCTGATTATGCTCAAACAGGCATAGTATTCAACGTTTTGGGCAGGCCCGGAATGTCTCAGCAGTTTTAAGGAACAGTTGTGCCAAACATCCGACTCGTTTTTCGGAGTGTGGCAAATCTACCAAAAATGTTACGAGAATTTGCGGAAGGAGAGGTTCGCCCACCAACGTGCCAAGATTTTATCATATTGTGTGATATCTATTACCGGTATCGTAAGGCGAGCCAAATATTGCTGTTTTCACTAATACTTTTAGATTTTGAAGTGTCTAAGACACAGTCCAAAGGGGTGTGCTACTGTAAAAACTGAGGCCTGTCTTAACAGCCCCTGTCGCATGTCTTAAACACCTCAAAGTCCAAAGTTTTCACTTCAAAAAAAACTTTCTTGGGAACGGCCTTGACGCTAGCTTCGGGAATTTAATTTTGAAAAAAAAAAAAAAAAAAAAAAAAAAAGCATAGCCTGTCGGGGACAAAAAAAAAACTACGTCCTCAGTACTCCAAAGTTGCCACAACCATAGTGAAAACGGCAATAAAGCACAAGCTCCTACCATACGGTACCGTACACCACATTTCCGCCAAGTAATCGCTCACAGAACCCCTGCGAACGCAAGGCCTTAAACAGACATCCCTGTGATATAGATCCAGAAGGGATGAGGCTTCTGGATGTCCCCGGAAACACTTTCTCAGTTTACCGGGTTGTTATTCTCACTGTTGTACGGGACGGTCAGCAGCATAGAAAGCACCTTATTGGCATTGGTATTGTTGTATGATAGTCTAGGTAGGTAACGGAATGCTGGTGGACAAGAGGAACCGTCAAGTCAGGTGTTACCGAGAATAAATCTGGTCATGAAGAGGTTGGCATCTTTTTGTCGTGAAGGAACGGACGCTTGTCGCTGAATGGCGATTTTATGGGTGAATGCTGTGGGTACCGGGTAAGTTAGGCATTATCGAGATTGGGTTCCTGTAGTACCGGTACGTAAGTACCCGAATTATAGTGTTTTATATTGGCAAATTGTGAAATTCTTGATAGCGTCGAGCAAGCTGTCGAAGTGAAATTTTCACCAGCATTGTGTTGAAAGAGTTGAAAGAATAATAGTGGTGCTCAGACCCTCTTACGCCCTAGTAACGTGCTGTGAACTCTTATGAATTCGCTATGGGGGATCGGGGGCTTGGCACGCGATCAGTGGGAGGTGTGGGCAACGGGAATTATGATACAAGTACCATAATAAGCCACAATAGGCTTAACAGAGTATGTTAATAGAATTGCGAATACCAGTAAATGAGATCTGCCAAGTTCAGCCCATCCAAGCTATACTGCATCTGGAAAACACTATTCCTTCTCGGAGTGTTTTGTCTCTGATTGATGAGATTAAGGATGGTGGATTTAACAAGAGTTTACGGTATTTGGCATATCTTACCAAGGTGTAAATTTTTACGGAACTTCAATCATCGGAGGAAGTGCAGATTTCCACCTCAAATACAGTTTGATACCCCCAGCCTGCAACCGGAATAAGAGTATCAGATCATCGCCTCTAAGCCATTATGTTGCTCGCCTCGGGACATATCATACATATTGAACCTGCAGTAAACTGAGGAGGCCGTAGCATCTCTCATCACTCGAATTGCTGTTAATTGACTCACTTGGGGAAGGGCGGCGAATTAGAAGCCTGATAGATGACTAAGCCAGCCGCATCAACCCAATAGCGTGTTGGCTCGGCACAAGGGCGATACCGTCCACGTTCTCAATCTCGGGCTGACAACCTCTCTTCCTTCTTTCCCTCCCTTCTTTTCTCTTCTCTCTCTCGACACAACTTTCAATTTTCTGCCACACAAAACCCACAAACGACTCGACTCGTTTTTTTGCTTTCGCTCATTCCCCTTCCCCCTCCCTCCTACCGGTATTATCTCCCCCCCATTTTCCCCATTCCCCCTTTCTCTAATTTCGCTTGTTTCTTGCCCGTATTCACCACCTGCCCAGAACTCAATCATCAAATCACCATCGCATCGCATCGTCAAAGCAGCGGCAGCAGCAGCTAGGTTTTTGGTCTCCTACTGTCGTCTCCCTTTGCCTTTGCTACCCTATATTTGGTTCTCATACGCACCGGCCTTCTCCCTCCTAGCCTAATTCCTCCGTCCGCCTCCAATCCATCATATCACCACCGTCACGGCCCCCTCCCGACCCTAGAGTTCATATCTTCATTCACCTTTTCATCACCTCCACCTCCCCATCCGCTCCTTTCAGCCCCGAAACGCACCATCATTTCTTTCCCTGGTGTACACAGCAAGAAAGAATACAAGTTTTTAGTCAAAACAAAAAAAGATTTTCAGACGCGTCCTACATAACCTGAATTGAAAAGAAAACAGCCCTGAAAACCGAGATGAGTTCTCCAAGCGCTTCCGGAGCTACGAAACGCCCTCTTGAGGATTCATCCTCTCCAAATATTAGGGATGAACATGATTCCAAACGCCCTTACCTTGACAAGGACGCTAAGGCGGAAGGTGAATCCAGCAGAGCCTCATCCCCTACCCCTACCAAGACTGAGGCCGCTACCGCTGTTAGCAAGTTGGATTCTGAGGAGGCAGCTCCAGAGACCAAGGATGCCGACACTGATGTTCCTGATGCCCCTCAAGGAGCTGGCCAGCAAGGCCAGCAAGGCCAGCAATCTGTCCCACAGGTTGACGAGAGTAATTGGATTCACATGCGCGCGGTAATCACTTCTGCGGAAGCGGCAACTGTAATTGGAAAGGGGGGTGAGAATGTAACTCAGATTAGAAGGATGGCTGAAGCAAAGTGCACTGTCTCTGACTACCAGAGGGGAGCTGGTGAGAGAATTTTAACGGTTAGCGGAGCTGTGGATGCTGTCGCCAAGGTTTGTTTCCATTCCGGGACTTTGCTGTGGATGGTTTGATCAAGAAGGTTATATTGACAATCATAGGCATTTGGACTTATCATTCGCACGTTGAATAACGAACCGCTTGAAGAAGCCTCATCCCCCCAGTCCAAGACTTATCCGCTTAGGCTCTTGGTTCCCCATATTCTGATTGGTTCGATCATTGGAAAGTCAGGTGGAAGGATTAGAGAAATCCAGGAGGCTTCGGGCGCTCGTCTTAACGCGTCTGGCTCGTGTCTTCCTCTTTCTACCGAGCGTTCCTTGGTCGTTCTTGGTGTTGCTGACGCGGTTCATATCGCGACGTACTATATTGCCAATACTCTTGTGGAACAATTGACGGAGCGTTTCGGCGGCCCTGCTGCGTCTGCGTATGCGACTCGTTCTGGTGGGCCTGCCGGCCCGATGCCTGGTGGGATGCAAGTTGTCCCATACCAACCACAACCTCTTCATGGATCTTATGGAAATCCTGACACTTACAAACGCCACAACAACAATGCCCAGCGGACCCCCAACAATCCTTATGGGATTCCCTACCTCCATGGGCCGGCCCCAGCTCCGGTCCCCCAGGCTCCCATCCACTATGCTGACCCTCAGGCCGCTAGTGCCTATTCCGGCGCTGGCCCTCACCAACCCGGTCAGGCTGGAGCTGGACCCACTCCTCAGCAGGGGCCTGCGCCTAATCCTATGGCTAACATGTTGCCCGGCCAACCGCTTACCCAACAAATCTTCATTCCTAACGATATGGTGGGAGCCATCATTGGAAAGGGTGGAGCCAAGATCAATGAGATTCGACAATTGTCGGGTAGCGTCATCAAGATCAATGAACCTCAAGATAACAGCAATGAAAGATTGGTCACTATCACTGGTACCCAGGAGTGTAATCAGATGGCCTTGTATATGCTGTATTCCAGACTCGGTATGTGATTAACTTTATGCTCTATGAATGAAATGTTGGACGGGAGGTACAAGATTGCTAACCATTCATGCGATTATCCGCACCACAGAGAGCGAAAAACACCGAATTTAAAGAGTGAAAACGGGAGGGGAACAAGCAAAAGCAAACTAACAGCACTACCCGGGGGGACTAAAATGGGGGAAGGGATTATTTCCGGGAAACGGCGCTTGGTTTTTTTTTCTTTGTATCCAAATCATCTCTTTTTTTACGCTGAAATCTTATCCGTTGTCTTGCTTACCTTTTTTCCAACTACTGTAACCTTTTTGTTTGCTCTGGTTTGATTGATTGATTGACTGACTGATGATGCTTTGCCTACTTCCTCTGAAAATCTTATCAAAGCCAAAAAGAAAGGGAAAAAAAGGGAAGTAAGGGGAAAAGGGAATCCAAAACAAACAATCGGTCTTCGAAAACATGGGAGGAAGTGGACGTGAACCTGATTTATACTTTTTTTTTTTTTTGGTTACGACTTTTCTTTCTTTTTTTGTGTGCGTACTGGTTTGCATGTGTTGGTGAATGTGTGGGGTGTGTATGGCATAGCGTCTTCTTGGTTTGATTCGATTCAAAGTTGCTAGGTAAAAACAGTGCCTAAGTACAGCATCTTGTGCGCATCGTACGGATGAATGAGATGAACAGGTTGACCACTGTAGCTTATCTTGGACGGATGTGCGGATGGGAAAAGGGGAAAAGGGGAAAAGTGAATTGAGCGGTGCCGCATAGTTACCGTTGGCAGTCTTGTGATGCGTCCCATTCACCTTCCTATTATACCCATCTCGGACTTTCCGTTCCGGTATCATAAGTACTCGTAGATTGCGGCCGGCGGTTCACGATGTCCGCCGAAGCGGCTATTACTGTACCGCGGAGCGGTATTGCGCGCGAGACCGATATGGTACGAAATATTGAAATGAGGTATGGCTTCCCTTTTTTTTCTTTTTTCTTTTCCGCTGGTCTGGGTGGGGTTGTGCGGTTATGATTGCATAATATTCTCGTTGGATATGGGGCTGGATCTGAGATTTCAGTACTGTACTCGTACTTGTAGCTGGGCGGTGTCGTATAATGGCGCCCAATTTTCTGGTTCGGTCTGAGCCCGGCTATCGTACCCTTGTGCGATGGGTGGATTTGGTTCACCGGTACTTGGGTTGAGTGAATCGGGAAGCGGCGAGAGAGAGGGGTTTCTTGTGATGCGTTTTTTTGTCTCCGAGTTTTTGATGTTCCAGATCTCATCCATCCTCTTCCAGGTTGTGTTTGTTGCCGTGTGGGGGAGCCGGCGGTGGTGGTTCGGCGCCGCTGGTGTCGTCGTGGTGAGGGGTGGGGGTACCGTACCATTGCGACACCGTGGATGAAAGGGATTCTCGTATTATATACATCGTGGCAATTGTTCCTCTCCTATTATCTTTCATTCCAGATTCTCGTGGAGCATCGGGCGGGAGTTGATATCGTGATCTGGAGCCGCCTGCACGCGTAGGGATGGAATCGAACTGCTTGTAGTCGGTTCTGCTGGGCACAGCACTGTGCTTTTATACTGCTTCTTTTCTATGCTGGTTGTGATTGGATACGGTATCATAGACACATTGTGAGTGCGAGTAGATTGAGAAGCTTTTGAAATGCTTCATTTTTGGAGTGATCTACGGTGCAAATGGTAGTATGGTATAGGCTGTGTCGGGGATGGGAGGTATGATGGCGCCGTGCCAGGTGGGGACCCGGGTTATTCATTTTTAGATGGTTGGCGGTCAGGGAAGTGATATCGTGGCTGTAGAAGGAGGGAGGGAGGGAGGAAGAATGAAGGTGGGTGTGACTGGAGGGAGACAACATACGTAACTTACCCGTACTCGGGTACCGGTGCTGTATGGTATCATACAGGCTACAAGCACTGTTATATCAGGTACTGGGAAAGTAGGAGGCGGCGGCAGCAGGAATCCGCTGTTTGCGAGGTTTGTCAAGAGTGAGGATGAGGTAGTCTGGTAGTAGTTGGAGTGGTGAGAGAAGAAGGTGCAAGAAGTGACCTCAGTAGAGATGAGAACAGGAGGGAAGGAGAGGAGAGGAAAGAGTCACAGTTGGACGAATTACTCGAGTGGACTGATTGTTTTGTTGAAATGTAGGAAAATGATCATTTCCCCTCAAGCTGTTTACCGGAAGAAAGTCTTCGAAGAACACTGCTCCACCAAGACAACCGGCGCAGCTGAGTGGCCAAGTAATAACCCTCCTTCTGCGCGTTAGTCCATTATATCCAACAAGTACCGGTAAGTTACCTCACTCTACAATTGTTGAGCATCGGACGCCCTGACGCCAGTCAAAAATCTACCAAACCATGCTACCACCGGTATGACACCGTTATGGTAAGCCGAGCGCCGAATGGATATGGCACAGTAGGAGCACAAGTAGGCTGCTCGAGCAGAATAAGGTTATCCTACCCGCCTGCCCGCCGAATGATATAGGTACCACAACCGCATTCCCCCCCATCGTGATACCGGTGTGCGCAGCACCGTACTCGAGTACAGTGCACGGCAAAGCGGCATTAGCAAGAGAAAGGAACGAACACAATTCCATAGATAGCCACATATCTCCTGTATAATAACTTACCGTACCTAACTGTCTAGGGCAACCAGACTTGCACGATCTTCTTACACCGTCCCTCCCTCCGAGCGCGTGCAGCGCAAGCAAGCCAGTCAGCAAGCATCTGCTAGCCATCCACGTCTCGGAGAATAGTATCAACTCGGGTGAGATCGCTCCGCATTACGCACATGTCATTCCTCCTGCACTACCGGTATTGCACTGTAACGGGTGCTGGGATACAAGTGCCCGGGGGGATGTTTTCGGGCAAGACAGGGATAATTGACTAGTAAAGCAGCCCCTCCCCTGTCTTGCACGAAAACGTCTCTCCGGGGCAGTTTGTACCGGTATGGTGCCAGCACCCTTCAAGTTTTCCCAACCTTTCGAGTCTCGACGAACTGCAGCAACACAACACGCCGCTACCCCGCCTATTCCTTCCGCACAATGGTCCCAAATCATGTGGGGAACACATTCGTGGGGTGAGTTTCATTCTGGAGGGGTGGTTCCCGTTGTGGTGGCTCTTGGTCTAGATCTGGAGCAAGCTTTGGGTGGACGTGGTGTTTGGCATCTTTGTGGAAAAAAAAAAAGGGTTTGGCTGAGTAATATTCTAATATATCGCCTAGAGCAGTAGGGTTGCCTACTATATTAGGACTAGCGCACTGAATCTGGATGGCACAGATGGTGGACTCTACTCAATTCGGCGACTTGAGTAAGGTGCCGGCATCATACTTGTTGCGATGGTACCGTGTTTACTTAAGAATACCGGTATTGTGATAGCATATGATAGAATTAACAAGACGGGGCAAGCAAGCAAGACAAGATACCGTGGGGAACACTAGCCGCCGGAAATGGGGCCGTTACTGGGATAGCTGCGCCGGTGGGTCACATTGTGCAGGATCGACGGACCGATACCGTAGCAGCTTGCATATTCGGGAATTCAACAGGCAAGTCGGGAAGGCTCTTGTTATGGTAATTAGGAAGAGAGGAAGGGAAAGAATTCGCTTTCGGCTTCTCTTGTCTTTTTTTTTTGCTTGTCTCTGTCAGATGCATACTGCTAAATTAATGGCCAACTCCCCTCCTGTTTCGCTCCGGGGACCGGCTACCGGTGTTAGTCTAAGGACTGCTGGACTGGCTGGGGTTCGGAGAGGGGGAAGGACTTTAAGGTCTGAGTTCCGGCAAAGTACAAGTATGATACAGTGCTTTTGAGGTTTTGGATACAATTGCACTGCTGGCGGCTTATTATACGGTTCTGGGGGATTCACACCTGCTTTCCCACTTTCTTCGCTTGCTTTGTATTCCGGTCGGTGGTTCTGAATTCTTGGCTGGGGCTGGGAAAGTAGCTCTAGCACCACCGCATCGTACGATATTTAAAAGGCAAGCTGTGGCCCGGTGTTTTCTCTTCCTCGTTCTCACTGTCTTGTCCTACTCCCGATTATTATTAGGTTTATAATTCTTATATTTCTGTCACTTTTTCCTTCTTTATTTCGTTGGAGTGTGGGTGAGTGATACTTGCGGTGAAGAAGGAAGGGAGAATGATTTCAAAATTCATCATAGCAACAGCATTGCTAACGTTCATGACATCCGTCACTGCGCTCTGGCCTATCCCCGAGAGCTACAAACATGGCGATACCACAGTTTGGTTATCGCCGGGCGTGGAATTGGTTTTCGATTCGCCCCCCGAAGTTTGTTTCCTCCCCCTTTCATATCGGTATTGAAGATTCCACACAGGACAAGGACTGACAAACACATTCCCAATCCTAGACACGAACAGCCACAAAACACAAAGTCCACGAGGCCTGGAGCCGCACCCGGGACATAATATTCCAGGAACGCTTAGTCCCCTGGAAATTTTACCCCCGTGGGGCCAAATTCGAACCGGAAAACAAGTTCGGCGGGGTGATCAAGAAGGTATTCGTCAGACAGACATCCGTGGACAAGCCGGAGCCTGTGCCCTATGGAGAATTCGATGAGAGCTACACGCTCATAATCCCCATCTCTGGTGGGAACTTTACCTCTCTGGAGGCTAATGGGGTGGGAGCGACCCTCGATGAAGGGAGGGAGCCGGGAGCGGTCTACATCACCGCTGGGTCAAGCCTGGGCGTGCTGCATGCCTTCACGACGCTCAGTCAGCTATTCTACTACTCCAACAACCACCGCGACGGGGTGTACTCCAAACTCGCGCCGGTGGAAATAAACGACAAGCCCAAGTTCCAGCACCGCGGACTAAACATGGACGTGGCGAGGCAATGGTACCCGAAGGAGGAAATCCTGAAGATCATCGACACCCTCTCCTGGAACAAAATGAACAGACTCCACCTGCACGTGACGGACTCGCAATCCTGGCCGCTGGAGATCCCCGCGATGCCGAACCTCGCGGCAAGGGGCGCGTACGCGGATGGGCTGACCTACTCGCCGCAGGACCTGCAGGACATACTAACCTGGGGCCGGTCGCGCGGCGTGGAGGTCATCGTGGAGATTGATATGCCGGGCCACACTACCTCCATCGCGGAGGCCTACCCGGAGCTCATCACGGGCAGGGACAAGCAGCCGGACTGGGATCAGTACGCTGCGCAACCCCCCTCCGGCTCACTTAAGCTCCGCAACCCTGCCGTTAAAAAGTTCCTCACCACACTCTTCGACGACTTACTCCCAAGACTCAAGTCGCATAGCCAGTACTTCCACACGGGTGGCGATGAGGTCAATAAGAACGTGTACAAATTTGACGAGAACATCAAATCCAACGACTCGGCCGTGCTTCAGCCCGCGCTGCAGGACTTCCTCTCGCACGTGCACACCGAGTTGGGCCGGCACGGTGTCACACCCTTTGTGTGGGAGGAAATGCTGCTCGAATGGAACCTGACGCTTCCCAAGGACTCGATCGTGCAGACCTGGATCTCGGAAGAGAGCACGAAGAAGGTGATCGAGAAGGGCCACCGGGTAATCGCGGGGAACTACAACTTCTGGTACCTGGACTGTGGGCATGGGCAATGGCTGGACTTCCTTCCCGCCAGCTATGAAACTTATTACCCATTCAATGATTACTGCTCCCCTAGGAAGAGTTGGAGACACAGTATGCTTCCCCCTTCCCTAGTACCTCCTCCACAGCTAACCAGCCAATTCGCATAGTCTACTCCTACGACCCAACAGCAGGCCTAACCCAGGAACAAGCGAAGCTAGTCCTGGGCGGTGAAGTACACGCCTGGTCCGAGCAGACAGACCCCATAAACTTTGACAGCGTCGTCTGGCCGCGCGCCAGTGCCGCCGCCGAAGTGCTCTGGTCCGGCAGGACCGACGCCGCCGGGAATAACAGGACCTTCCCCGATGCTTCCCCCCGCCTCGCAGAGTTCAGGGAGAGGCTTGTGCTCCGCGGCGTCGGCGCGGGTCCGATACAGCAGTTATGGTGTCATCAGCATCCGGGGGGTTGCCAGCTTTAACTTGAGTTTTTGATTATTTGATGGTTTGGTGTCCGGTACTTGGGTGAGAGGGTTATGTAGTTTTTTTTGTTTTAGTGTTTTTGTATGATATTATACTCGAGTAACGGGCGTTCGGTCGGTGGGAGGGGCGCGGAGGACTGATTAATCGATTGATCGAGGGTAAAGTTAGTTTGGTCCCGTTGCAGTTTTCACCTTGTTGGAATGAGCGAGCGACTGGGAAAAGAGGTACCATGATATAAGAATACTTGTACACAAGGCAAAGGAAGAAAGCAGGAGGAAATAACTCCCGCTTTTACCAAATCATGAATCGCACCAATAGCAGCCCTTCACTACTGTACCACGAAGTGGCATATATTAACCGTGCCAACGTTCCTGCCCCGATTAGTAAACAGCAAGTGTTTCCAAATCTCGCAGCCCACCTACGACTTGCCTACCTAACAGCTGAATATAACTTTGCAGCTCAACATCACTGTTCACAAGTAGCTAAATTTAGATCGTAAGAACAAACCACCGGGCCTTCTCTGCTGCCTCAAATAAATTTCCTGCTTTCTTATATGATATGCTGTTTTAGGTCTTTGAAAATAGGCTTCTATTCTTTTTTTTTTTTTTTGGTCATTTATGGCTGCCGCTCTAGCTGTCTTTTGTGTTCCCCCTACCGTCTGTAATATATTGTTTTCCGCCCTTATTAGATCCGCTGCCTGTGGTCCGATGGGCATAAATTACTCAGAATTTTTGGACAAGCCTTCCATCATACTCCTTCCCCGACAGTATTTAAGCTCCCCAGATACTTGCGTACCAGTATCAGTTTATACCAGGCTTCCGTTGACAAAGTGGCCAAGCTGAGCTTTAAAAAGAACGGGAGAAAAGAGGGTCTTAGTTTAAAGCCTACCAATACATCAATGAACTGATCAAATTATCAGCAATGTAGAAAGAACGTATGATACCAGAACCCGATTTACCTCCTATCATCCTAACCTGGAGTGAGTGAGTGAGTGAGTTCCCGCCAAAATTATAATATCATACTCGGGGCTTTTTTTTGGACTATGACCTGTTGGGAACGCAAAAGCCACATCGATCTCAAATGTTTTTTTAAATAACCTACGCAAGGGACCTTGATTTGCGATTACTACTACTCTCGGTTCCCGGGGTCGGGTTTGGAAAGCCGTTAATTATTACTATTGGACTCGCCCATCCAATCACGCCCCTCCAAGGGACAATTCCAGCCTTTACCGCAAGAATCGAGGTCTGAGTGCCCGGTTCGATTACCGTACTACACCCACAGCATCATATCCGATGCAACCGGCTTGGCACAGCACAGTATCGTTCCGGTACTCGAGTACTCGTACAGCATTCCACCCTTTCCCTCCCGGCAAGTTCTCTACTTGTACTCGAGTACTGTACAGGCAAGACTCAGTATGGTACGTTATCCATGTGGGGTAGATTTAACGAAGGGTCCCTGCCGGGCGGTATGACTCGCCGGCTCGTTTGCTATTCGGATGGTCCGTAGCCCTGGAAGAACAGGTGGCTTCGTATTATATACGGTAGAAGAGATACCTTTTTGGGCTTTCTTGGTTTTCCTCTTGTATCGTGCTTTTGGGGGACTGTTGAAGATGGGGATGTGCCTTGAGTAAAAGGGATACCGTACTGTAGTAGGCAGAGAAATTACATGTTACTGTCGAGAAAATAAGCAAGGGAATATGGTGGGAGGTTCCTGTAATTTATGTGTTCTCGTCCCTTCAGTCCGCGTTTTAGAATCAGGAGTTTGGGTTCTTTCTCGTTTTCTTTCTTACAAAATTCATTACTATAATTATGGAGTGGCTATTAGATTTCATCCGGCTTCGTAGCCTTAAAACAACAGTTATGGTTTTCTGTAGGGTATCGAGTCGTTGTGTCGGATGAGATAGCGGTGGGTTAGGGTTACAGACTGTCCGGATATGATAGCCAATGAACCAGCGAGGATAAGTATCATACTAGCACCGGTACAGTACCCGCACTGGTACGGTACTGTACCGGTACTTGTTATGATACGGTGCTGTGTTAACCCCTGCACACCCACAAGCAAAATTATTCAATGTGGTAATAATAAGAAAAAGGAAAAAAAGAAAGGGAACTCACAATACAGGTACAGTACTCTTACAGTATCGTTCATCAAAAGCACCCTCAGTAGTTGGTGAGAATCGTGTTTTTCTTCACTATTTTTTTTTCTTCGCACTGATTTTGCGGAGGTGAACCTGTGACGGTGGTAATGGGGGTGTCACAAAGGGAAAGGTAAAGGGGTGTGTGCTTTACCCCGCAAATGTCTTTTCGTGACGGACCGTCCGCGGATTCTCGAAGAGCATGGGGTCTTTCTCGGGGGATTAATGCCCCGCCGTTCCCCTCCTTTGTTATGGAACTGTAGATACTCGTAGATACGAGAGTCAGTTAGGTTAGTCAAGCAAAGGAGGGCCTCGTTACCGTGACCGTACTCGAGTAAAGGAAGGCAGTAGAAAGCTCATGTTAGGATAGGCTGCAATGGTGCAATAAACTGAAAGCCCGGATGAAGTCAGGTTACAGAAGTCAAATTCCCGAAAGTTTTCCAGGTAACTGAAGTTTATCATATCGGTAAAACCATTGAAACGGTTTCCCCGCTTCCTTACGGGCGTCTGTCGTGTAATCTTGAGTGAAGGATATTTGCCCGTCTTCCACGGGCAAATAACACCAGGGACCGGCCAATATTGTCGGATGAAATGTGGGCATGGTACGAGTAGGGTGCGATGGTACTGTATGTACAGTAACTTACTCGAGTATTGCACGGGTGTTGAATGAAGCAGGCCTTCTGTTTGCCGCATTAGAATATTGAGAACAAGTTCGCCTGCGCAAGGTTCGTTTGGATGTACTCGAGTACAGAGGGGTTCACTGAAACTTGGAAACTAAGCGCGGTGAAACAGGGCCAAGAAATTGGACGATCACAAATTCCGGAAAGAATCCTAGGTTATATGACAGCTTAAAACAGCACTTGTTGCACTGAGTGATTGGTGATGATAAAGAAGCCTGAACAACTTAAAATACATGTATATACTAAATGAACGTCCAAAAAGAAATATGGATAGAACAAAAGGAGGCATTGAATACACCAGTAGTGAATGATATTTAGATCAGAAAGCTAAACTCAAGCAGAATATGGACAAAACTTAAAAAATTGAAACATAGGCAGAAAGAGATATGAGAATTAAAACTAGAATGAATGTTTGAGTTGGAAAAGCAATAGGAACTAGGAAGAGAAAGTGCTGTGGGGGTAAAGAAAAAAAGAAAAGGAAACCAGGGCTGGTGCTGGGGTGGGCTAGAGAGGGGGAGAATAGTGATTGATATACAGATAAGCGGTGAAAGTAGCAAGAAAAAATAATAGCAGGAGTGAGAAGGAAAACCGTGATTGAAAATGACTATCAGAGCAAGGGCTAGGAAAGTGGAATACATAACCCTTATCTCTATAGTACAGAAATAGTTAAGTAGTAAAGCCTTATCCTACCAGCACGTATGTCCCCATTAGCAGCTAAGAGGTCAGAAATCCGGCGCGGCATTGAGGTAATATGCTGTGTGATCTCTAAAAAGGGAATTTTATCCCATTCAGTCTGGATAGCTGTGTGGAGCTCGGAAACGGTGCAAGGACAAAGGTGAAGATGAGAGATCCGGTGTTTAAGAAGGCACCAAATTGATTCTATGGGGCTCATATCAGGGGAAGAATTTGGCCAAGGGAAGAGATAGTTTCGCATTCCTAGGCTCTAGAATTTGTGGAGTGTGAGGTGAGAAACATGAGAAGATGGATTATCCTGCTGGAAGTAAATATGACTGTAATGATCCCACTTCGGATGGTTAGTTCTTGGTAACAGGGAACGATACTTCTCTTCTGCTTCTGCTGTAAGATAGTTCTGAGGCCTACACCTTCATTACTGATATTACAAGACCTTTGTCTTCTATCTGTAACTCCTATCATAAGCTTTCTCTTACTCTATCTCATATAGAGTATCCTCATCATAATAGTAATAAAGATCACAACAACAATAAAGAGAGTAAAGTTGTTTTATATTTATAAAGGTAATAAGTAGGAAAAGTACTTAGAACAAAGCATTAAGAGCCTATCCTCCTTGGCTGTACTGGCCTACTTATAAAGTGCTCTTCTGGCTCCAAATCATGTGACCTCAACTTGTCACATGCACAAAACCCATAACCTCATAGCAAGGTCATGTGCGAGAACTCATAAACTAATCATAATGCAATAAATAAGTTAGATGACCTAAAGTGGTCACATGCGCGAAACCCATGACCTCATAATGAGGTCATGTGTAAAATATAAATTGTACACGCAAGGCATACGTGCAAGGCATACTTGCAAGTTACACATGCTAGGCACATGTAATGATCCGTCCGCGGATAGTTAGTTCTTGGCGACGGGGAATGATACTTCTCTTCTTCTTCTATCTATTTCCTTTGTCTTACCATAGCGCTAGGCCTCTGCCTATGTTACCAATAGTACAAGACCTTTGTCTTCTATCGGAAATGCCTATCGTAAGCTTTCTCTAACTCTTCTTCATAAAGAACTTTCCTTGTCGTAACGATAACGTTGCAATAAAGATAAAGATCATTAAAGATGTTTTATATTTGTTAAAGTAATAAGTAGGAAAAGTACTTAGAATTCAATCTAACTTTATTTATACTAGTACGGCTGACACTGGTATACGACCAGTCTCCCTCATGCCCCGTAAAACAAACTATCTAAAATACACTATCGTGGACCATTCCACCCTGCAACCACTCCTTCCAAACATAAATCCAAAAAATTACTACCAATGTGGGCTCACGACTCGACTCGTGACAACTAGCGTCACCCCGGATTTACGCGTCTTCCCACCCCGCTACCCAACCACTGCCTCATACCCTCACCCCTATCTGCCTCCAGCACAATTTGTCCCACATACTCAACAAAGAAAACATACAGTCTATCCCAACATCCCTCCGTCCTCTTATAATGCAGTCCCAGGTCCAAGTACCCGCCGGCCAGAACCATCCCACAAAAAGAACAGCACTTTTCTTTTAACAACCCATTTGTCTTAGCCCACCGCAAAACTACCGACGTTCGAGTCGCGAGGTCCAGCTCGTCCCATTGTTGGTGCTGAGAGTGCCAAAATTGATTGTAACATGTCTGTAAACAGTGGGGTTTTTTCGCAAAGTGTTTGGCAAAGGTGACTCGCTTCTGGGTGGCCATTGCAGAAATCGCAGTCCTACAGCAAGGACAGTCGCAATGTCGCTGGTTGGGCAAAAAGAACCACTTCTTCGGCATGGTTAACAGCCCTGGCAAAACGCATCCACTGCCATTGTGTTTCTTCTCGCACCGGGCATAGGCCGTGGGATCTCCTACCATTGCCAGCCGGTCACCTCTTTCCACCGTCAGTATGCCGTCAAAGGGGTTACCTGCCACTACCAATTCCCCATCCACCATCTTAACATGCCGGGGAATCCCCAGGCCTAACCACCTTTGACTCACCCACTAGGACTTCCATTGCGATATCGCCGAGTCCTTATATAAGTCCTCATCAGCAGGGCATCCTATAGCATAACGGGGGCACTCAATCCAGTGGTGTCTGTCATCCTTCCCTTCACAGCTGTCATGACTGACCAACTCCATTCCGCTGCGAGTTTTCAGCAAAACATAGGAATCCATGTGGGTGAGACAACGAAGATGCCGAGGTGCCCTAGGTTCACGAGCATAATACCCATGCTCTTCCCTATTGTGCTAGGAACCCCACTCCTCCTTTCGCAACTCGCGGGCCAAGGCCGCATGCCCGATTCCAAAGCTAATCCCTTCCCAAAGCAGAGGGTGCAATGGATACCCTACGCAGACCTTAGCCCTTATATCTACCAGCTCATTGCTGTTAATGCTCATGTGTCCCAGAACCCAGCTAAGGCTGACATGGCTGAATTCGTTAAGCAGTGGTGCCATAACTTCCCACAGTTCAGCCAAATCTCCTTCTGAAAACATACTGTCTACCAGGGTGGGGGCCGGCATGCAGTCCAGAAACACATGAACCGGATGCCTCTTGGCTATTCCTTGGGCATGGCGGAGTGCACAAACAACTGCAAAACAGCTCACACTCAACAATGCTCCAAGACGGGGGGGCCGAGCACCTGTCAACACGAGTTAGGGCTCCTTTCTTAAATACCGCCCATGCCACACCTGCCCCCTCAGAGGTCTTGGACCTGTCCGTGTATATGACCACATCCGAGGACTTACAAAGGTCTGTGTACAGCGTACAGTGGCGTGCAGCCATCACCGCCTTGCCTCTCCCAATCGTAATCATGGGGCGGCATCTGAGCTCCTTGTCCGAGGTCTGCCGATGTGCCACCATCCCTTCCTGCTTCCATCCGAGCCGTATCTTACCGAACCACAGGTGCTGATCACAGTACCGGTAGTCGATAAATCAGCCGTAGTACCTCCGTTGCAAATACCTTCCCTGGATGGCCACAGGTGGTGTTCCAAACTCAGCCAGCAGTATATCGTTTGCCAACTTCATAAGGGTCTGGAAAACTGATCGGAGGTAATCGTTGACGTGGACCTGAATCTGTTTCACATACGACCCATGGTCAGTTACAAATTCAAGTCCATAATAAACAGTCGGAAGGTAGGCTGCCTGCACTAAGCGGTAAGTCTCCCATGCCTCTAGCCCACCAACACTCCCAAACCTCCTCCTCAGCGCTGAAATCCTTCTCCTAACACCCAACCCCCTTTCCAACCAATATTTTACATGAGAAGAAAAGTTAAGAAATACATTAAACCTATACCCAAGAACCCGCAAATCCTCAGAAGGTAAAACTATTTCTCCCAACAACTCCATTCCTCCCCACGCCCTGTCCCCAAACCTGATCCACTGGATCTTGAGGGCACTAAACCCCATTCCCCTGGCCCTTGCTATACGGTTGCAGTCCGCAAAAAATTCCCCTGCATGGTATTGGGCAGCATTATAGAATCTGCAGCTACCATGATGACCTCGTCATCAATGTATGAGATCACCAACTGTCGGACCCCAGGAGACTATCGTGTTCGCGGTGTGAATATATCCGCCACGTAGGCCTCAAAGAGAAAAGGAGACAAAGGCGAGCCCTGAGGCACCCCTTTGCTGACATAGTAAGTCTTGGAAATGCATCCATTGAAACGGAAACGAATCGACCGACAGGAAGTCCATCTTCGTACCTATTGACAAAGGTTTGATGGACACCCCCGGGCAACCAGGAAGTCTGACAGGAGGTCAACATTGATGTTATCGAATCCCCCTTCAACGTCCATGGACAAAATCAGCCGTTTGTAGCCCTCATTATGCCACAGGTATTCGAAGACTACCACCATGGCATCGTGAACCCCTCTCTTCCAGCGAGAGCCAAACTGTATTTCTCCCAGGTCAAGGCACTTGGCCAATCTTAGCAGGACCACGCATTCTGCAACCTTTGCAGGTGTTGGGAGGAGGTGTATCATTCTCCATGACTTGACGACATTGTATCTGGGTTTGTCAATCTTCGGTATAAGTACTACCTCTTCCTGATGCCAGTCCGAAATATCGTGACGCAGTCCATAGTTGACCAAATATCGCAAAGTCGTTGCATCTCTCCGCTTCCAGAACCGTATGAACGGATATCCGATATCATTCTCGCCTGGACCTGTATTCATATGGGACCTAGCAAGGGCAATCTCCATTTCCTGAGCACTGTCCATATCAATCACGGAGTCCTTCCAAGGCGCAGGATCGCCAGGAGACAGTTGTTGTGCAGTCAGGTTACTGATATTGGAATGTGTCGTGGCATA